GCGRCTTGTTGCCAGTGGAGCTCTTTCTTTCCGTCACTCTGCCTCTGGTTTCCTGGATTCCACTGGCAGCAGTGACTGAACCCCGCATGACTACAAAAGTCAAGGGTCACCTCACCGTGGGAGAGCTGGCAGGCGCCACCAACACTGGGGCAGCTGACATCCACCTCCTGCTCTGATCCGCCTCAGATTAAAGACACCTGCCAAGTGACTGCAGGTCCCCCCGAGATCGGCAAAGAAGAGCTAGAAAGAGCATCCCGGGGCCACCGCCACCATCAACAGGTTCTGCAGAGGAGACAATGGGGTCGCATCCRCGCAAAAATGTCCCGAATTTGACAGTTACACATTGGTCTGAGGCTACATGGTGGGTGGAATCGAATATTTTTCCAGCGACTCTTTCATGGTTTCCGAAGAGCAAATAGGGAGATAGGGAAAGTGGAGGAAGGCCGGGGAGGAGGCGGGAGAGTAGTGATTCATCTAATTGTCCACTGTACTTTTCTTGCAGTTTCTCTGTACACTGAATATTGTTCCAGACCAAAAGTTTGGGGAGCACACATTGCTAATAAAATAGCAAAAGTAGAGGGGGCTTGCCAAGCGCCTGTGATCCCAGTGACTCGGGAAGCTGAGGCAGGAGGATCCCAAATTGGAGGCCAGCCTCCGCAACTTACCCTGTCCCAAAATTTAAAAAAAAAAAAAAAAAGGACCTGGGTTGTAGCTCAGGGGTAGGGCACCCCTGAATTCAATCCCTAGTACCAGGGACTAGAGGGGTGAAAGAGAAGTAGAAGAGGGCTTATTAAATTTGGCTTAAAGCTGCCTCTAGAGGTAGTAAATTGTAACCTGAATTAATAGGTAAACCAACTGCAACCTGAGAGCATGTTCTTGTAATGAACAGCCAGGTCTCAGCCAATCATAGAAGCAGAGTTTTCACCAACCACAGGCTTCGCACCACCAGAACGGGTCCAAATGACACCAATCAGGTTATTCCTGCAGGCRGCCTCTTTCTGCCTTCGTGACACTCTGACTGGTTTAGGGTGCTGCCCGATTCAAGAATTTGCTTTAAAAAAGTGCTAAATTCAAATTGTGGATGTGGATGTGGTTCCCTAGTAGAGCATTTGCCTGTCAGGCTTGAGGCTCTGGGGTTGATCCTCTGCACTGGGGAAAGGGGAGAGAGGGAGGGAGGGAGGGAGAGAGAGAGAGAGAGAGAGAGAGAGGGAGAGAGGGAGGGAGAGAGAGAGGGAGGGAGGGAGAGAGAGAGAGAGAGAGAGAGAGAGAGAGGGAGGGAGAGAGAGAGAGAGAGAGAGAGAGAGGGAGAGAGGGAGGGATACCCAGAAGGTTTTCTTTTAACAGACCTTAAGACCTTGCGGGCTGCCTGCCCTTCCTTAAACAGGACTCTGGTCACACAGTGAGTAGCAGCAGCAGCAGCGCAGAGATGGCCTGCCCTTGCCCTACTAGCTACAAACACAAGGCCTCAGCCCTGAGTTTGGGCCCCAAGAACAGGAGGGGGACACCGAATCAGTGTCACCATTTCCTTTCCCTAGTCCCTCAGGCTGCCCACGGGCAGCTCCGTGCCTGCTGTGATGTGACCAAAATACCTGACAAGAACGACTTCACTTTGGTTCAGGGTTTCAGAGCCTCAGTCCACGGTGGGCTGACCCCTTCGCACACGGAGATACAAGGCCCCCAAGCTCACGGCAGCCAGGACGGAGAGAAGTGGGGAGAGAGAAAGAGAGAGAAGAGGAAAGAAAAGGAAGGAAAGGGCCAGGAACAAGATACAGTCCCAAGGACACACCCCCTGTGACCTACGCCCCCCCCATGCCACCTCCTGCCTACAGTTCCCACTCCYCCCCCCCCACACATTCAAAACATTTACCCATCAGATGAGTTCATCTGCGGATGAAGTTACAGACCTCTTGATCCAATCGTTCACAAAAGCCCCACCCCTGCGGCCCCATCCCTGCGTCCCCACCCCTGCGTTGCGGCCAAGTCTTCAACACAAGCGCTTTTGGGGGGTCTGGCTGAGAGATCCAGCCCACCCTCTCCACAGGTACTGGGCCCCAACTTCCCTCCACCTGCTCGACCATCACTTCTGGAGATAGCTCCACCTACCCAGGTGCAGGCAGGATCAGACCGGAGGGAAGAGGAACAGGGACAGGGATTGTAACAACGTCCCCTGGAGAGCAAAAGTCCTGGAGCCTCACTCAGCCATTGCACACCGACTCAAACCCAGGGGGCAACTCTTGGGAGCGAGGCTCGGATTGATGATCAGACATGACACACACTCTTGGGCCCATCCCTTGCCAGGGCTGGAGGCAGCCAGAAGACAGAATTGCCGGGTCTGGGGACCAAGCCAGCTGGAGGGTGTGGGCAGCGAGGGGCCTCTGGTGACTCATGGTCTCCATGGCACAGAGGTCACAGCAACTGTCCTGACCACAGGGCACCCCACGCAGACAAAATCCGCCTCCTGTTTCAGCCTCGGTGTCCACCATCGTCCACTTGTGTGCACCTGCTCTGCCTCCCTGAGTTCACGTGGGGACGTGGGCCTGGAGCACACACAGCTTGTCGACAGCCGACGTCGGCATGGGGACAGGCACGGAATGGCGGTCACTTTCTATGAGAGGCTCAGATGTATCTAGGGGTGAAATCTCCTTTTGCCCTTTGCCTATTGCAATGATGCCAGAGACAGAACTTGTTACAGCACAGAAAACACTTCCACGGCGTTCACTTTACATACAGAAACAATTCTGAAGAGGCTCAACCGCATAAATGAGAAAAATGATGGGCAGTTAATATGATTTTTTTCTAGTACCAGGGATTGAACCCAGGGGCACTTAACCATGGAGCCACATCCCCAGCCCTTTTTATATTTTATTTAGAGACAGGCTCTTGCTGAGTTGCTCAAGCCTCCCTAAGTTGCTGAGGCTGGCTTTGAACTTGTGATCCTCCTGCCTTAGCCTTCTGAGCTGCTGGGATTACAGGCATGCACCACGAATTAATATGATCTTAGGACAGTCAGTAATGAAACYGAGGGAAAATCTAAATAAAACCACTAGCTTCACTTTAAGAGTCACTTATTTTGGAGGCCGTGCCAGCTAACGATGTACTATCAGGCTTGCACTAGCTTTGCTGTGTAGATGACACCTCTGAAATGTGGGTCATGACAATGGTTGCCTAGGTTACTCTTTAGGGAGTTGATGCCTGCTATTATTGAAACCCCCAATCTTTTACCTGGGCCTGTACAGTTATCCAGTGGGTGACTTTTTGACCTCAGAGGGTTCAATGTTCCACCCTCTAATGGAGCTATCACCTCTATTTTCTGAACATGTGTCCTATGAAGAGCTAAGAGATTGATTATGCACATGCAGAACACTGATTTCTTCTTCTTCTTCTTCTTCACAGTGCACCATATCAAATCCAGGGCATCACACATATTAGGTATGCACTCTACCCCTGAGCCGCACCCCAGCCCTCCCTGCTTCTTTACCCCATAAATATCCTCAAACTTGATCCTTCAGGAGGCAAATTTGAGCCTTGGTCTCCCTTCTCCACATACTCAGCCACTTTGTGAATAAGCCTTTCTTTTTCCCAAAGATAATCATTTCATTGATTGGCATACTGTGTGGCAGGCAGAACAGGCCTGGTTTGGGGAATGGGGACAGAGTGACAACTTTAGTCTACAAATACATATAACAATGTAAATGACCATACAAGGCAGACAAATGRATGGATTCCACCCTGGCCCTCATTTTGTAGCGTCGTTTGCTGGCCTGGCACGTGTACCTTAACCTGAACGCACTTAAGTCTTGTTTATTAGGTGCCTCGGGGTGCTGAGTCTTTCAGGGAAGAGTGTGGTGGGAATTTGTCACAGCTTGTAAAAATGATGGAGAGAAAATCAAGTCAGTCCCCTCCAAATGTCACAAGAAACTCCAACATAACACCTGTTCACATTATTAATCCAGGTGTAATAAGGAAATGAAGACCTGATGATCCTGGGACAGGAGGAGCCTCAGACAAGACTCTGTGGCCTAGAACGCAAGGTGCTAAAGCCACATGCTAAGACCAGGCAGCTCTGTGCTACTCCAGGCAGGCAGTGGACTCCTAAGCAGCCAGGCCCCAGCCCTAAGGAGCCTAGAGTTCACTAGCGGGTGGTGCGCGTGGGCCAGACCCTCCGGAGGGAACACGCAGGGTGACTTCAGATAAATGCCCAGTGGTACAGAGATGGCTGTGGAGAGGTGCTGCGACACTAAGGGTCAGGGCAGCCCTGGTGGAGCAGGGGCCAGAGGACCTGACCCCTGAAGAAGGCTCAAGGGCTGGCCCGAGGCACCTGGGCCGCAGTGGGCAGTGGCCCGGGGGCGCAGCTCGGGGACCCGGGCGGAGCCAGCTCGCGCAGCTCCGTCCCTCTTGGCGCCATCTTGTCCCCAGCGCCGCGGGCCACCGGGCGGCCGGGGCGCGGCCCTCGCGGGCGGAAGCGGGCGGCGCCCTCCGCGACTGGCCCCGGCGGGCGGCCCCGCCCCCAGGTGACGCGGCCGGGGCGGGCCGGGCTGGGGCGGCGGCCGGCGGACGGGGCGGCGGCGGAGCAGCGCAGCGCGGCGGCACSATGGGGGCCCAGCTGAGCACGGTAGGCGGCGGGGTGCGCGGCCGGCGGACGCCGGGCGGGGGCCACCGCGGCTCTTGCCCCGCGCCCGTGAGAGCGGGCGTGTGACGCGCGCAGCGCCGAGGCCGGGGCGAGGCTGCGACGGGCGCGTGCGGCGCTGAAGTGCGCAGATGGGTGTGTGCGGCCGGCGGGGGCGGGCGCGTGGGCGCGGGAGGGTGGGCGCGGCGCGGGCGCGCGCGGAGGGCGCGTGGCGTGCGGGGCGGGGGGCGCGTGCGGCGCCGCGTCGCCGGGTGGGACCGCGGGGCTGGTCTGATTGGCGGGCCGCGGCGCTCCCGAGGCTCGGCTGCCCCTGCCCCAGCAAGGCTGCGCGGCCACCCTACTTTGAGGCGGCGCCGTTAGCTCCATTTCGCAGATGAAGAAATGCCACCCAGACTTGGCCCGCGGCCCGCAGCACCGCGGGATCCTGGACCTGTGGGGCAGCATTGTCCACTCATGCTGTCACTCTGCTTGGCCCAGGCCTCCCTCCCCTCCCCCCTCCCCTCCTCCCAGGCCCGCCCTGCCCCTCTCCCCTCCCCCCAGGCCCTGTCCTCTCTGATTTCTTTCCCTGCTTTTCCCAGACGGATCTTAAGTTCTAGTGCCCCTCCCACCTCTGCCTAAGTAGCTGGGGCGACAGGTGTGCACCCCTGGGCCAGTTCCCTCTCTCCAGTTTCTTAAAAACAACTGTGGAGGGAGTGGAGGCTGTGCCCGGTGTGGACAGAGCTGTGACTACAGAGGGCGGACACCGCCCCTAGGCACACCCCCTGGCCCCAGGGGTGGCTCACTGAGTGTGGGAAGGCTGCACTGGGAGCAGAGGCCACCTCCACCCCAGGCACCACCTCGTACAGGGCACGTTCCTCCCCACTCTGGGCAGAAGCCTCTTGTGCTGAGCATTTGCTTATCAAAGTGAGCCTGCCCAGGACCTGGGGGACACCCGGACCAAGGGCAGCCTCAGAGGTCTGAGGCCTCCCGCCCACCCCTTCCCTGCTCTGCTTTCCAGGGGCTTCTCGCTTTCTGGCCCAGTTGCTGCTGCTCTGATCTTGTGCTGTGAGCAGACCCTGTGAGAGGCAGAGCCATGTCTAGGAGCAGGACATCTCCACCAACCCCTGGCCTCATCTGTCCAAAGGGTGTCTGGGATTGCCCCGGCATTGTAGGTTCTGCTGGGACCCCAGCTTGGGCCTTGACACCCACAGCATGCCCTGAGCCAGGCCTCTGGACCTGCCCATCCAAGGCATGCTGCATGCCCTGGCAGAGGCCGCTGGGCTGAGTGCATCAGGTCTTATCTGGGTGGTGCAGGCCCCGCGGGAGGCCTCCTCCACACTTTGGGGGACCTGGTCCAGGGGTTGGCACTAGAGTCGGCCATCCATCTGGGGAGAACATTGGCGGTTTGGCCTGCTGTCCTGGACTCCCTAGCTTYCAGCCCAGCCTGAGCGCTCAGCAGGCCCCCACAGGCCCACACCACAGGTAGGGGGTACAGGGTGTTCCCACTGCCCCTGGAAGCTCTGTGCCTTGTGGCCCAGCACCCCCAGCCCAGGGAAGCATGGCCCTGTTCCCCCGTGGAGAGCAGCTGAGCCATCCACCTGCCGCCTCCTGATTCCTTCACTCACACTCCTAGCCCAGCCCAGAGCCCCCCTTACAGGACTTCCTCTCCTCCCTCCCACTTCCTTCTGCTTAGAATAGGGCGGTGAGGGAGGTGGGCCCTCAGATCCTGGTGGGACAGCAGGCGGTCTGGTGGCGGACAGGTAAACAAGTTGCTATTTGGCTTGTCCGAGCCCCAGGCCAGGGAGCTGGCACTTGTGGGTGAGCTGGTTCTCTCCCCTCCCATCCCTGGCCTGGGCAGAGTGGGTCCCAGGGTCCCTGTGAGGAATTGCAGGGGTGGGCAGCTGGGCAGGGCACCTGCCTGGGAGCAGCCTGTTGACCATGGTGAGAGAGCTAGGGACTGTCTCTGGGCTCCCTGGGGATGTCCTGGGTGCAAGGAGAGGCAGGCGGTGGGTTTCCTGGTGGGGCAGAGCTGGGAGGCAGCTGCCCTGAGGTCCTCCAGGTGGCTGGATGGGGGGGTGGGGTGTGCGTGCCCCCTGCACAGCTGAGGAGGACCTGGGGAGGGCCGTGGCATCTCYGGTTTGTTGCTGGTTTGCTGGGGACCTGGATGGGGCCAAGCCTGTTCTACTCCCATGGGCGGGAGCAGAGAGCAAGGCCTCACCCTCCAGTCTCCTGGCCACGGTGACCTCTGCCCCTTTGGCTCGTGCTCCTAGGGTGGGGGGGTCTGCCCACAGCTGCCAGATAGGAATTTTTACACATCAGAAGTTCACCTCTGCCAGGTGCAGTGGCGCACGCCTGTAATCCCAGAGACTGCCGAGGCAGGAAGATGGCGAGTTCAAAGCCAGCCYCAGCAACTTCGTGAGACCCTGTCTCTAGATAAAATCTAAAAAAGGGCTGGGGAGTGGCTCAGTGGTTAAGTGCCCCTGAGTTCAATCCCTGGTGCCCCCACAAAAAAGTCCACTGCTTTTTTTTTTTTTTTTAATTTTTTATTTGTTTTAATTAGTTATACTCTTTATTTCATTTTTATGTGGTGCTGAGGATCGAACCCAGTGCCTCAAGCGTGCTAGGCGAGCGCTCTACCTCTGAGCCACAACCTCACTGCTTTGCTTTCAGTGGCCATAAGTGTCCCTGGGCTTAGGTCATTGTCCTCACCTGAAATGGGAGGGAGCAACTCCCTGGTGGACGGCAGCCTGGGGTGGTGTGAGGCAGTGGGGCAGAGCGCTGGTTGGCTGTGCACAAATAGGGGCGCCCTGTGAGTCTGCTCCTCTGCACCCTCTGCACCCTCTGCACCCTCAGGGTGGAGGCAGGCGAAGGAGCAGCCCAGACCCCAGGCCGCCTGGCGGAGGGCATGAGACAAACAGGATGGGCTGGGCTCTTGTCCTAGTTCTGGAAACTTCCAGACAAAAAGGGAGGGGGTTGCTGTTGTCTCTTCAGTAATTAATTCCACAAATATTTGTTGAGTGCTTCCTGCACTGAGGACCGGGGCAGTGGGGACAAGACACTCCAGGGAACCTGGGAACACACGGGAGCTGGCTCAGCAGCTGAGCCCTGGGCTGGTCCGGGTGGGTGTGAGCACTGGCCAGAGTCCAGGGCCCTGACACAGGCAAGAGCGAGGTGGGGTGAGCCACAGAACGTTGGGAACCAAGGCCCAGGCCCCCCCCAGGGCCCTTATTTGTCAGACGGGAAGAGAGGTGTCCCTACCTCCTGCCACTGAGGTGGAGGCTGGGGTGGAGCTGCAGGATGTGTCCCCAGGGCAGGGGGCTGTGCGTGACACTTGACTGTGCACTTGAACGGCAGTGCTGGGGGAAATTAAACCTCGGGGTGCACCACACAGCCCCACTGGCTCGTGTCATTCAAGTTCATGGCCAGGGCTCCCAACAGGGGTGACTTCTGCGAACCTGTCCTCACTCACCTGACCCTGCACCGATTCCCCTGGGGGATATGGCTTCTTGCTTGGCATGGCCCCATCCATCACAGGGAAATCGTCAGAGTGTCCTTGTCCCCATGGATTCCAGAGAGGGGCCGGGGCTGTCATAGTCCAGTACGGGACCTGGGAAGACGTTCCCAAGGTCCTGAGCTGGGACTTGAACCCAGGTCTTTCTGACCTCAGAGCCCATGCTGCCCACCAGAGCCAAGAGCCCCAGAATGGGCGAGCCGCCGTGGGGTGGCTGGGTGGTGGCGAGACGTGCTCCGTGGCCGTGGCACGGGTGGGCTATGGGCACCCTCGGCCCTTCCTTGTAGACCCATTGGTCACATGCCAGGGAACCCCAGGGTGAGGCCTCAGCTGGGAGAGGCGTTTTGTTCTGAGCCCAACAAAGGGACTGTGACTGCAGACGGGCAGCTCAGAGCACCTCTGCCCTCCCTCCCCCTGAGCGTTCCACCCCTTGGAGCCTCCGTAGCTGGTCCACTTCTTTGGCCTTAGATTTTTTTTTTTTTTTTGGTGGGGGGTACTGGGGACTGAACTCAGGGGCACTGGATCACTGAGCCATACCCCGAGCCCTATTTTATATTTTATTTAGAGACAGGGTCTCATCTCACTGAGCTGCTTAGTGCCTCGCCATTGCTGAGGCTGGCTTTGAACTGCCGATCCTCCTATCTCAGCCTCCAGAGCTGATGGGATGACAGCTGTGGGCCTTTTGGATAACCTGGTTTTCTTTTTGGCKCGGCCCTGGGGCATGGATGTCTGTTCATGATTAACCCAAAGCCACTTCATTCTGAATGACAGTCCAGTGTTTGTCACAGGGATGTTACACAAAGGACCTGCCCCTTTGATTTGAGCAGGTGGCAGATGTCCTGGAGTTAGTCTC